TTTGAAGTTTGAGTGCATATCGGACCGGCACATCCTGTCATTAGGGAAATATTTATGTAGATATAGGACCGATTTGGGGAATCTGCCAAAAAGGCAGCTGCCTTGCCTCCTAACGGTGAGACCAATTAGTCGCCGCATAATTAACTCAACAACTTTGGATCAGACTGGTTTCGTTTTTGGCATTAGTTGGCGGCAGCTTTGAGCCATCTCGTTTCCTTCTCTTTTTTTTTTGGCTAAAAGGCCAGCGATTAGCCAAAATTTATGCAGAGCGCCCTCTGGCGTTGGTGAAATGATATTCCCGGAAATTGGCAAGGATTCGTAATCGGCAGAAGGAGGAGGGAAGGGAAGAGGTGAGTCGGCGGCATCGACGGGCCAGGCCTGCCGTAAAAACTCTTTGCGAATCAGGCAGCTTCGTGGCTTCAAGGCTATGAGGGACATTAGTGTCTTTGGATGATCATAAAACCCATATACCATCGACCATCGGCCAGCTAATCCGTGGAAACTCTAAACTCTATCCCAGAGAGGAACCTCTTTCGGCGCGAGTCGCAACCCTACTTTTACCCATCCCATCATACCATCGCGTTTACCTGTCCGCCGTAAAAAGGATATACGTTTGCGGGTCCTTACGAGTTGACGTTTGCACGCCAATCGATTTGACATTGAAGGGATAAGGATAGGGATATGGCATGAAGGGATGAGGAAGATGCGGATGCGCGCCTGCAAATAACCCTAAATAAAACCATAAAATCCTTCTGCATGCTGAGAACCCATCCATCCATCCATCGATCCTCACCTTGAGTCACCCGCGATCTAAGGACTTTTTTGGCTGTCTTTTTTTTAGTTACTTTTTTTTTTAGCCGAACTCGTAAATTTGAGGAGTCATTTTTTATGCAATTTGTTGTCAACAGTTTTGAGAATTTCATGGAAGTGCGTTCGTTTTTTACGCAATGCGATGTAACTTCTGCTGGCTTGTTGTTTCTTTTTTATGGACGCGAGTTGACTTTTTTTAGAGAAAATGATGAGCCGGAAAGAAGAGAAGTCAGGACACGAATACCAAGAAGTGTTGACAAAAAACAGCCAACGATTTTCTCAAACTAAACATCCTATCTATGTCTAACTCTGTCTTTCTGAAGTCTGGACGGTTCTCCTAACCATTTCAAAGGGGTTAACTTGGCCGAAAGGCGTGCGAGATGCATCGGTAACCCTACCTGCACCCGTACCACGCCCATAATCCTTTTATGGCAAACAAACAAACACTGTCACGGACGGTGTGCAGGATAGTAGACTAGGATGGCTAGATGGCTAGGTAAAAAAAAGTGTTGAAAGGGTGCAATAAAGACCGGGTTGAGACCGTACGGGCCAAAAGGGTAGGAGGATATCGAAGAGTTGGCCGTTGCACACGCGCTGTGGCATTGTTGCACGGTCGGTTTTATGGGTGTGTGGTTTTAGCCCTTTGATGGGCATGATCATCCTGTTAATAGAAAGCGTGGAAGCCCGCATATCCCAGTACCTGTATCAGTGGCCTAATCCTTTCCAGAACTCTAGTACGAACCCTTTTCCGACCATGATTGCCGGCCACCGAGCGTGTCCAAAGCGATTTAATTAACGCGGTCGCAACTAAGCCACCGATACGGGAATTTCTCCCTCTCTTGAACCAGGACATGGATTACGAATCTATGGAAGAACCCTTTCCCTTAACCAGTGGACAGACGAGGGCGTGGACCCTGCTAAAAGCCATCCGGCTACTGTTCCGAGGACGGGTTAGCAGTAGCTAGGGGGCGGAATCGGAACAAAAGTGGGAGGAGGCGGAGGTGGAACATGACTTCCAGCGAAAGGATTGCCGGGTCTTAACTTTTGGAAAAACTCCAATATTTACCAAATACCAATGCACTTGGTCCAGAGTCGAGAAGTCAAGTCGGGTTTTCGGGTTTTCAGCTACAATTTGAGCAGCTCAGCCGGTTTAGTAGAGGATCCAAAGCCCTTAGGGGATTATGTATGAATGCCTCTACTAATTATAAAATATTTATCTCAGGAATATTATTTAAAGATCTCTAACGTTTTCTCCTCTGGTTACCGTTAGTTTCTTTTAAAAAAGAAATCCCTATTTAAGATCCCTTTTGAAGAATCCCTTTTTCTGTATTATTTCTTTTCCGCATCACGCAATCTCAGAGCTTCCTTCAATGCCCCACAAAAAAATAAAAAAAACGTCAGTAACCCAACCTTAAATAATATATGCGAAGAAAACAAATGAATAAAAAAAAAAACGAAAACAACAGAAGTGTATTTTTGCAATGTTTTTTTACCTGTTGCTAATTTTAGAATGTCTGTCGTCGGGCATTTGCTGACGCTTGCGTTCAAAAATTAAGCCTTTTGCCCGGCATACCTCATCCAACCCACCCACCGCCGATCACCCACTACCAGGCAACCACCACCACCACCCCCCACCCATTTACTTGCCCGCCCGCAGTCCTCCGGCCACCTGAAAAACAGAATTTCTGGGCAAAATGCGTCGTTACGCTTAATGAGTAATAAAATACTTTGCGCAATGTGGGGGAACAAATGTGCAGGCCGGCTCACTCGCACCCAGCCGCCCTCTCACTCGGCCACCACCCACTCGCTGTTGCCAAAATATACAGCGCCATTAAGTGCAACAACAATATCGAAGAGGCACGTGAAAGAAATCAAGATCGCAATAAATTCAAGTTAGTTTATACGACCTGATAAACACCAAGTACTTGCTTAATTGGTATTATATTTAAATACTTATAATGTTAAGTATTTTATGGAAGGGCCTTATTATTTTTTACAGTGCAATATTAACAGCCACACAACAGCAATTGAACGCGGCCCAGTACGAATGTGGCGCGCGTTTTTAACAGCGTTGGCGATTTTTATGGCGTTTTAATCGCGAGAGTGGCGTGCGCGGCTAGAAATTTATTTTCGCCGCGTCCATGAGCGTCTTGCTCTCTCGTTCGCACTCTCTGGTCCAACAGTGCGGCCCCCTTTGGCCCCCACCAAGTGGCCCCACCCCCGCTCCATTGTTATTTTTAGTTACATGCCGGCGTTGCTCAGTTAGCGACTTAAACAGCAACAAAACGGCGTTTGGCGCGTGGGCGTTTCTGGTGCGGTTTTAACAGCGTCGTCGCCGTTCGCCGTTTCGGCTGTTAGCGGAAAAAACAGCGCTGAGATCGCCAGCGATCACAGGGGGTTGGATCTGGGGGATATCTGGCGCTGTCTAATTATAGCCGCAATTAGCAATGCGCACATATCTCAGTGCTTGCGCCTTTTCGTCGGCATACGAGTGTGTATGTGTATATACCTTTTTGCCACACGGTTTATTTTAGAAGCGCTGCATGTGATCGGAAACAGCAACAACAATGGGGCAGCCGCAAATTGGGCGTTGAGCGCACAAACAACTTGTATCTGTGTATCAGTGTATCTGCAAGATACCTATGTACATCCACACCTTTGGCTGTTTTTGGCCAGCGAGCATGATGTAAAGCGCCGCCAACGTTTTCCGATCTCTCCCAGTCTTTTTTTTTTCTCTTGTCTTGTTTTGTATTTTATTTTGTTGTTGAGCTCCCCCCTCGTAGATATTTTAATTTTTTTTTTCGTTGCAATTAAATTGGCATGCACAAGTGCCGACATCGCCACCGCCACCGCCGCCGCCACCGCTGCCGACCGTCGCTAGCGTTTTTAACAGCACTGCTGACCGCGGGCGGGCCGCCTTTTGATCGGCTGCCAAATTGTAATTGGAACGCGAAGGTGTTGTCGCCGTCCACGACTGCCGCCTGTAAGTATTGAAATTGTTGTTTTTGCTTGATTTACGGAGCATGTGTTCTCGACATGCCAGCAACCTTCCCCAGGCGACCACAAAACGCACACTAGACTTTAGACAGCCCTCAAAAATGTCCGAAATTCCCCAAATTTTTTCGGTTCGTTAGGCATACATTTTTGAAGAATCAAGAAACTCTAAGTATTTGTATCTCTAGTAACCCACTGAACCCTAATCGAATGAGAAGGGCGTCGTGGAAGAACCTTAGTAATTACCAGCAACCTTCGATAAGTCATTACTGAAAAGCACTAAACAAAAAAACGTGTAAATTCGTGGCTGCACGTAGAACCCATCAAACTGAATCTAGCGTTGTACGGAGCACGTGTGATCCACGGCAGCCTTGTTCCAACGATTTTCATTTTCATTTCATTTCGCTTGGCTGCGATCGATCAAAAGCCGAGGGGCGGGCGACCTTCACTTAATTGCCGCACCACACGATCCACTGGAGCAGCAGTGACTGTTGACTGTCAGGCAGTGTGTTGTCGGGTCCAGTGGTGGGGGTGCGTCACAACACCACCCCATCACCCAATCATCCGCCGCCCAGCCACCCAGCCACCCATCCCATCCACCCACTTCCGCCTGGCGTGCGCACAACCTTGTGATCTTGTTTACTGTTTAGCGACCCCAGTACCGCAGATAAAAAAAAAAATACACCGAACCTGTCGCACTGGGGTGGCGTCATACCGCTCTTACTACGTAAATGTATCTGTATCTGTATCTTGGCACTTGTATCTGTATCCCGGCCATGTCTGCTATCGCCTCGTCGGCTATTTTCACCTTCTTTGGCTGCATGAATCAGCACAACTACATATACTAGTAGCTGGCGCAGCCTCACCAGCTCCCGAGAAGCGGCAGCTTCAGCCGCAGTCCCAGCTTGTGAATCCCTCGGTTCGGCGATCGACCACCAATCGGGGGTTTCGCAGTGTGATTTCCGAAAAGGAAGAGGCCGAGGGGGCGTATGAGTAATGCGGCGCAGGCGGGTAGGTACCCCGCACACAGGTAGCCGCCGCTGCTGCTACCTACCTAACTATACAGATTGGCAGACACAGATACACAGATACGGAAGGTATCTGATAGTGTGGTGGTAGGGTCGTGTGGCTCGCGCTTGCGTCTCGCAACGGCGAATAGCTGCCGAACCTGTCGATCAAAATTCAGTCGTCCGCCGAGAGCCCAGCGATAAAGAAGTACCGCTCCGCTCCTCAAAAGATACATTAGCTCACAGATACAAATACAAACTTAAGCACACGATCGTAACGTCGTTCTGCCTTCGTGAACAGCTCGTTCGGCACTTTTAATCGGCCTGCAAACAGAACCTGCCGCTCATTCGACTGCCGTAACTCGTAGCGTTCGGTTCTACTCGCTCCGGAAGAATCCGACATATAATATATATTGAATATATATCGCAGACAAGTCCAGCTAAAAATTTACGTGCTTCTCTGCCTCGCTGCGCGAAAGTGAAAACCAATTGTAGTGAGAACTCCACACCGGAAAGTCAGAAATACAAAAATCAAATAAACAGTGAACTGTTTCTAAAAAGCAGCAGCAAATTCTATTTTGCTGCCAAGTGATCCAACAAACTGTGCCTCAAACTCAACAAACAATACTTGACCGAAATGGTTACCGGCGTCACCGCTTCCAACATGACCGCCAACGTACTCGGCACCGCTGTGGTGCCCGCCCAGCTTAAGGAGACGCCACTCAAAAGTGACCGTCGGGTAAGTGTCTTCTCCTGCTCCCCAAAAAAAGACAAACTAGATTCCCTAAAACAGAGACCCACTTGGATTAAAATAAAAGCTGAGAATTCCCTTAATTGAGAATCACTTACACCCACTTCGAGTCGATTTAACGACACCCACTGGCCAAATGCATTTCCTTTTTGGCCACAACGCGCACACTTCTCCCACATGCGTCCGGAACACTCGACTCTTGGTTCAGATTCGAATTCGGTTTCGGATTTGGATTTGGACTCGGGGATCCAGAGTCAGACAGACCATAATGAGCAGCTGCCGTCGGCGCGCCAACACAAAGCGAATATGTCTTGCCGCGTTGGTGGCATTTACTATATGGTTACTACACATCCATTCATGAGAGCTTGCCACCCAAAATTGGCCGACGCTGCTGCCCACCAGCTCCAATATTTCTCGGCGCGTGTGTCGCGTGGTTGCTGCAATTTTTTTTGTTTCTTGGGTGACTTCATCCGCCAAAAAGTATATATTAGCCAGCCAAATTTGGTCAGTTTTTGCGACATCGCATCTTTGAGTTTCCCGCTCTGACCTTGCCGCCGCATACCTGTCGGTGGGGCAGCGGCGATCGGTTTTATTTATAGAGCGGTGCTCTGTAATTTATAACCGCCAAACTATTTTTATCAGTGGCTTGCCAGAGTGGCGCTATTAATAGAGCACGCGCCGTGCGACTAAATTTGGCCGCCAGCCAGTCAACCCGTTCCACCGCCCCCTCAGCTAGCCCCCCGATCAGTCCTATCTAGTAGTTGTCTCTGTTCTGTGTGTACGAGACCCATGCAGCTTCCTCTATTTTTGGGTCGCTGCATGAGGTCAAATTAGCCAAGCGAAACCTGTGACTAATTGCGGCTCTTTCTTTCAATTTCTTGCAGTCGAACAAGCCCATTATGGAGAAACGCCGACGCGCCCGCATTAACAATTGCCTCAACGAGCTCAAGACTCTCATCTTGGATGCCACCAAAAAAGACGTAAGTATCTTGAAAATATCAAGAGACATATCAAGAGTTCAAGCCTTAAGCATTACATTTTATACTATAAATTTTAAAATTTCTTACTAATTTTCAAATTATTTTCTTTCTACTTTTAGCCGGCTCGCCACTCTAAATTGGAAAAGGCCGATATTCTGGAGAAGACAGTCAAGCATCTGCAGGAGCTGCAGCGTCAGCAGGCTGCCATGCAACAGGCTGCCGATCCCAAGATTGTCAACAAATTCAAGGCCGGCTTCACCGATTGCGTCAATGAGGTCTCCCGCTTCCCCGGCATCGAGCCTGCCCAGCGTCGCCGCCTGTTGCAGCACCTGAGCAACTGCATCAACGGCGTCAAGGCCGAGCTGCACCACCAGCAGCGCCAGCAGCAATCCATTCACGCCCAGATGCTGCCCTCGCCGCCCAGCTCCCCGGAGCAGGATCCCCAGCAGCAACAGCAGCAGCAGCAGGCGGGCTACCTCTTCGGACAGATCCAGCAGACAGCCGGAGGTTACTTCCTGCCCAACGGCATGCAGGTGATCCCCACCAAGCTGCCCAACGGAAGCATCGCCCTGGTGCTGCCCCAGAGCCTGCCCCAGCAGCAGCAACAGCAGGCGCAGCAGTTGCTCCAGCAGCAGCAGCAACACCACCAGCAACAGCAGCAGCTGGCAGCAGCAGCGGCGGCGGCAGCGGCAGCAGCCATGGTGTCCATCCCCCAGCGCACCGCCAGCACCGGATCCGCCAGCTCGCACTCCTCCACCGGATACGAGTCGGCACCGGGCAGCAGCAGCAGCCTCAGCTATGCCCCACCCAGCCCGGCCAACTCCAGCTACGAGCCGATGGACATTAAGCCGTCAGTGATCCAGCGTGTGGTGCCCATGGACCAGCAGCCATTGTCCTTGGTGATCAAGAAGCAGATCAAGGAGGAGGAGCAGCCCTGGCGGCCGTGGTAGATCGGGTAGTCGACGTCCGCTCGAATCTCCCGCTTACAAGACTGATGGGACACACTCTCATAGAAACGCATCCTTACACTTAAAGAAAAACTAGGCAGAAACTAAACAAAGGCGCAGGCGTTGTGCGCATGCGCAGCCATTTCACCTCATTTCACATCATCCTGCAAATGTGGCTTCGAAGTGCTACCATGCTAAGAAATCGGTTGAGAGCCTCTCAGGGTTCCATTCCCTGCGAATAATCCCTGCGAGGTCAGGACCCTCATCTCATACACACACACACAAACACACTCTCACACACACACGTTGTTATAAATTATTTATTATTATTATGTAATTGATTTGAGAAACGGTATTCTATCGGAAGATGATCACCAAGCTACCTCAGTCCAAGTTTTTGGTGTTGAATTGCCTCATGTATCCATGTATTACTTTATATTTTGAATAACAGCAAATCAGCAAAAGTCTTCCACAAAAGCAAAAACCGCAAAAAAGCTGAGCAACTTTTTATGAAAAAGAAAAAAAATCGTCTTAATCTAAAACTCTTAAAAATTAGAATTAATATATCTCCATCTAAATATAGATTTTTTGTACACCCCAATAGCTTGCTAAGCCGCTTAGGATTTTCGCTCCGCTCTTAAGTCTTAAGTCTAAAGTCTAATCAAAGAAAAAGTATATTTATATGAAAACAAACAACTATTCGTAAGGCCACGTGATATAGTGAACATAATGAGCTCTAAGAAAACAAAACATGAATTTGATATAAACAGAAAAACAGAAAAAAAGAATCAGAAAAGAGAAAAACAAACAAACAACACACTAAAAAGAAATAAATCTAAAAAATTCTACTAAAAATTAAATACGCAAAAAGGTCTTGTTCTTTGGGGGTTGGGTTCCTTGGGCGAAAGTCGATCCGCTCGGGTCTTATCAGAATGTTACGCCAATTATAATGCCAAATGGAGGAAATTCCACAGGTGGTGACTGTTCTGCTACAAAAAGACTCCGATTTTAGGGGGCTCGATTACGATTGCGACCGGAACGGATATAGACACTTCCGTACTTTCATTGACCGATAAGTGGTGAAATACTTAAGTAGCTTTTCTTTGTTTTCAATTATTTCAAAATATTTAGCAATATTATAGGGAATATATTTAGTTGATGATAAGAAGGAAATGATTTGACTACAAGAAACCCTTTTAATCAACCAGAAACCCCCATGTTCTTATGTGACTCTGGTATTTCCCTTTCCCATGTTGTCAAGGCCCCCGCTATAAGATATATATTCCAGTACTTTCTGGAATCGTACGTACACCCAGTCACGCCCACAAATCCGTTTTTTAGATTAGGAAAAAATCTCAGCAAATCCCCGGAGTCATTACTCGCTCTGCTCGTGACCAAAGTTTCCACGAAGTCTGCCGGAAAAAAATTCCGCATCATGCTGATAATAGGAGCTCCGATAAATAAAACGGATATAAAAATAAACAACTTTGTTTTGTTTTATTTTTCATCCAAAGACTGTGAATCAAATGCAGTTTTCTTCTAACTTTCAGTTGTAAACGGTCGTTCTGGCCAAGCCATGTGCCTGAAATTACTCCCATTCACGGGATGACTTGATGCGGTTGGGTTGACGTTTCATTAAAAAAATAACGTGCAACCTCAAAGTCCAGGGAATATAAAAAAATAAACAAGATTACACAGCAGCCTGTCAACTGTCGCATGTTCTAGAATCTAGAATATAGAATGCGCCATATTACAGAGAAATACAAACATTAAATATTATGATTTTATATCAAATATTATATTAGACATCAGAGTGGAACTTCAAGGATTCATGGAAAATAGCTACTCGTAGGGGGATTACAAATATTAAATACCTTACCCTAAAGCTCACATAATTTTTTGTAGTGCAATACAGCAATAGTTATACTTGGAGGAAAGTCCAGCGGTTGGGTGGTTGAGTGGTGGCGTGGTCATTCATTTAGCCGACCCACTGAATCGAAAGTGCACTTGATTACTCACTGGGGACAACACTTGGCCCTCTCGTCTGATTCATGGTCCAATGTCTAGCCGAAACATAGTCTCAAAAAAAAGTTGCCTGCTGGTCTGCTACTTTTTTTAATAAACATAAAAATGAGTCATCATAGGCCCCTAAGGCTTTCGATCGAAATTCTCCAGAAATTCAAAAGAAAAATTTAGCAACATTATAGGTGATTAAGAGGGCAGTTTGAAAACCCATTAAAAAGATCCCATATGGTATATGGGGGTTTTTTGGGGGTATTTTTAATAACATCCTAATGATTGTACTTGTGTGGTCCTGAATCAAAGCTTAGATAGTATCGGGGTTTCTTTAATGACACTTACTTTCGCAACTAAATATCTTAAAGTATTTAATAATGTGTATTATGAAAAGTAATATGATTTTATAAAAATAGAAAGAGAATGAAACATAGTGAATAATCATTCCAAATTCGTAATTTTCAAGCTTGAATTATTTCCCATTTTATTTCCAGATCCCTGTGAAAATTGCAATTTGCATGATTGCATTCCTCGAGAACCAGCCAGCATGTCGTCTGGTAGTGGCTCAGTATATAGTACCTATATAGTGGGATGGTTCTGGTTCGATTTGATTTACTTGCCGGTGGAATGAATTCGTCACAGTTGCACCCAAACGAAATCGAAATGAAAGAACCTCGAGGCTGCTATTTTTGTTGAATTTTAAAGGGTAATATCGCACCCTGGCCAGAGTGCGACATTTGAGGCTGTGATTTGTTTTGCTTGTTTGCCTTTTTTGGTTTTTTTGCAACTGCGTGGCCGAGAAGTTGGCCATTGGAATGCCAGCAGTTGGCAGTTGTCACGTTTTCCTCTGGCAAATGACCCCAAAACTTGTGTTTGTTTACGACGACTCGTGTAGCATTCCATGGAACTGACTGAGGTTTGTGGCATGCAGCAGCAGCATCGGCCACAGCAGTACTCTTCACTTCAGCCCACTTCACTCCACTTCATTCATGGTAATTGAAGACCGCACAAATTTCAGGGAACTGCCGGCCAGATAAGCCACCGCCACCGCCACCGGAATGGCACTTGGAGATTTTGGAGCGGAATACGCATAAACAAGTTGAATGAACCGATATGATATGGCTCAGTCTCGGGCCTGGCCCAAGAATTTCGCGTCTCTAATGCTGACGGAAAGCAAAAAATATATGTATATATGTACATATTGTTTGTGTATCTAAAACAAAGTCAAACTCGAGCTCAAGTCGGTCTCGATTCACTTCCACTTCCAATTGGCAATGTCAAATGCTAGCCAAGTTTAATGACTCTCAGCCGACTTCTCTTGACACCCGCACTGCGCTTTGTTTTGGCTTTTAGGTTTTTTGGCCGGAGCCATTGAACTTGTTTTGCGACTTTTGATTAGAGGTGTATTTCGCATATGAATTGAAAGCGAGTCCCGGGCTAGAGATCTCGGAAATGTTAGGTGTTGATGAACCGTGAGGCTTGGTTCAAGGAGACTAGAATCGTTCGAGCACTGTGAGAAAAGGTTTAAAATAGGGGTTAGATGGACGATATTTTAAGATTTAAAGATTTAGACTTTCTGGCAGTGCCTTTGCTAACTGGGCCTAAACACAGTTAGAGTGCTGGCAATTTGGGCAGCCTTCAAGGTCGTTTGTCTGGTTTCAGCTGTTATTTTTTTGTCTCTTGGCCCAAAGACGTGCTTGGCATTTAGACAAACATCGGATTCGGCGGCGGCGGCTTTGACATTCAACTCGCCGCACGGCGGTTCAAGTGGCACACACCACAAAGCACCACCAGCAACCCAGCACTGCCGGCACCAGTCCCCAGACACTGAGCAAGGTCAGTTCCCCACCACCACCATTACCACCGCCACTAACCTAAGACATTTCGTTCACCCAGTTACACCTTACGCTGCGCCATTAAAAACTGTGGCAGTTAATCGAGAAATGTGGCGGGGACGGGGGCATAGCTATAACATTCCAGATATTTACACAGTCTAACGCTGATAGGGAATTCGCTTTAGTTCCAAATGGAAGCCTCTTGTTTTGTTTTGCGCCGAGGGAGCCACCTTATCACCTTGAGCGGCACGTGACTGGACGATTTTGATTCGGAATCGGAATCGGTGGAGTAGTGGTGTGAGGTGGGCTGCAGTGGTGTGCGGAGGTGTACGGTGGTTTTGGGGGTACGAAAGAATTTCCATCGAGCAACCTGATCGCACGTTATTGGATCTAGAAGGCCTGAGGAGGGGGCTTCGTTGGAAGCCCAGCGGGTCTTCATGTAAATAGCAAAACGGTATGTTTCTATATATATTCTATATATAATCTTGTATCTCTTAGATCTGGTGTCTAGAATAACATCAAATACTTTGTAACAGAAAGAAAAATAAGCTAAGAAACATTGTGGTTTAAAAGTTTATGTTTAAAGGGAAAATGGTTTCATAAAAAGGACTTACTTTAAAGCGATTTTCTTTTAAATTAAAAAATAGTGGATTTACCTTATGGTAGGTATTATTTTTTTCTCTGTTCCTTTGATTTGTAATTTGATTTTTTATACATATTTAATTTCTGTTTTGTGTTCTGTTCGATTGCATCCACTTACAGGCCCGTGCATCGGAAACTGCAGTGCCACGCAAAATATTTCACTCAAATAAATATAGCCGTTTATTTTTGGAAATTGAAACAAGCCGTACAAAATGCGAGGAAACCAAAACACAAAATAAAAATAAAGAAACAGGCAAATAAATAAATAAATAAGGCTGAGGAATACCAAATACCGCAACGGAACCCACTCGAATCACGTTTTCTGTCACGCAATTTGAGTTCTTTCAATGAATCCGATTTGGAATTGGAAATGGCGCAGTTGTGCGGTTCCACACCACATACAAGACCCATTCCCCATTTCGATCCCCACTCGGTGGTTCACTTATCAAGTCAAGTGCTCCGGTGGTTGGAGGGATCAGCAAGATTGTGGTGTGGGTTAAGTCCAAATTGGGCAATCGAATGGGGCAGCTTCTGTTTAGATAGTGGTTATGGTCGGGTTATTGTGCATATAATCTATAAATTGATTTTGCTAAGCTCTAGCCCCCACAGTCTAGACAATATTAGCACAATAAATACAGAATTAAATGCCCAACTTTAATCAATTGTTTTCTGAAACTATGGGGTCAAGGTTCGCCCCCAATTTGTTATCCAAAAATATTTTTTGGCAAGTCACATGACTTAGTAAAAACAGGTGTCTAAGCTCCAAGGGATCAACCAAAGCGCCGTCACTCTTATCGTTGTCGCATGGGCGGCATAATTCAAACGCAGGGCTCCCTCCAAGATTTAATGCCATGTGAATGGAATTCGATTGCGCGTGCCGAAGGAAAATGCCATTGAATCGCTTTTCCGGGGGGGCTCGGGGACTGCCCAGGGCTGACCTGGCATTGCAAGTGGAAAATTTTCATGGTTTACATCAACGATTCAACGATCCAATGATTCGAGATCCGTCAATGAATAGTGTCAACATGTGCTCGTCTTATTAGCACCCCCAAAGTCATCGCGGTTTTGGGGACGTCAGCCCGCAGGTGCCAGTCGTAGTGCCACTCGGTTCAGATCAGATCGAAGGTTTGGCTCTGGCCCCGTAAAGCTCACGCCCACTCCCACTCCCGATCCCACCTTTCAGAAAATATTCCGCCCTCTTTGCATTGCAGGAAATTAACACTCATCTTTGGAGCTACACTATAAGAAATGGGCTCTATACTTTGGCAATGATTTTGATGATTTCATATTTGTTTTTCTGCTGATCGTGGAATGATAAGATATATTTCTTAATATCAGTAACCTTAGATAAAAGCATTTAAGTGGGCATGTCCTGTGATATCACAAGGGAAATCACAAAGAAGTAGAGGTAGAACGGAAATGTTTCTAAAAGATTCTTCTTTTGAGACTTTCATATTTTCTTTGAACTTAATTAAAGATTTGAAAATAAAGTTTTAGTATAAAAATAGTTGTTTTTTATACCTTTTCCCCCTCTACCTCCCCAATCTTACTAAGACTTTTTTGTGGCCCATGGGCTTCGATCGTTTTTGCCATTCGGTCGGTGCGGCTCTTACCAGTTTTCTGTTTTGTATTTCTGATATTCTGATAGCTGCTGCTGTGCTTTGTTAACTTGGCACATTTTTTGTTGTGATTTATTTGCGCGGCGTTTTTTGATTGAAATCACCCAAACAGCCAAACAACCGACAAAACAAACAACCGGGCACTGGCGGTTGACGCAACTGTGGGAATATTCCACTGCAGCGTGCGCGTTTAGCTTGTGTTTTCTTAACTGGCCGCTGCCAGTGGCCACCCTTGGCACCTGCCCCACCCCGCCCCCAATTTCGATCGCCCACCTCCCCCCGGGCAAACAGCCTCCCTCGACCACCCACTGGAAAAAGCACACGCCTCCTGCGGATCATCGCAAAACGTGTTAATGGATCAACAGTTTTGTGTTAGTTTTTTAGGGGCGAAGTGTCGGACGGTGGGTTGGTGAGACCCACCCCCTTTCGATTTGCACCCGAACCCAAAAAGGTAAATAAAAATAAAATTGAAAAAAAAAAAAAACCTATCTCCGGTGAATTGATTGATTGCCGCGCTAATCAGCCGGGCTAAGTGAATGTGTCCCGTGCCTGGCCGTGTGCGGCGCCAATTTTTGCATCGGTTTCGTGTGTCTGCCGTCACTTTTTCTGCGAATTGTTTGTTGACGCTGCCATTTGGAGCGTGCGAAAGCCCGAAACCCTGAGTCGTAGGAATTGGAGTGTTTGCCCAGAGATCACTGGACCAGTGAGCTGCCCAGAACCCCAGGCACCCCAGGCCGCTCCCTTCAACTGATACGCCAGCTCCCCCCCACACGTATTACGACATGTGATGCGGCTCGCGTTGCTCCAAACGTGACTGGCCAACTTCAGGTTACTTTGTTTCACTTTCGTTTATGACGGGTACTCGAACTTCAGCAAATCAGTTGACAATGACATTGGCATTATCATTGATTTTCTATTAGCTTGATATGATCCATTGCAAACATACGTCAGTGACTCACTTGATATTCCATGCGAAACTCAAGCCATAGTGACAAAGGATAGTACGCAAATGTTTCATTTCTGAAATATCATTTTATGGTATATTTTATTAAAATACCATGACATTATAATTTATAATATATTTGATATCAAATTACAAGAATGAGTCACAAAGACAACAGTGATTTTTTATAAAAAACCAATATATATTGTTCGTTACCAGGTAAATGGTTCTTTATTAGTTTCTTTACTATATTTAGCTTATAACCATGATAATTAAAACATTGAATTTTCGTATTAAGGGGATTTATGATAAAAACCTAAAACGGTGATTTCTTTTAAGAGTCATTTCTAAATACAAAAAACATGTATTTCTTTTGTACTTTTTTCTATTCTTTGAAATATAAGAGATCAATTAATAGTTATTAATGGGAGAAAATTATTAATAGGTTTGTGTGTATTGTATCTCATAGAATATTTACTAATCTTATAAGCTAAGGTTTCTTGCATAAAGAGTATTTTCTTTTCGGGCTTCAGTGGGTAATATCTTTACTACTGTATTTTTGTTTTTGATATAAATTCTTCCACAAGGCACCCGAAAATTTCATGAGGGCCTTGTGCCATCGCCCATTGCCCCCGTTTTTTCCATAATATATCACTGAAGCACGTGGCTGTCTTTTGAGCCATCAATAAAAATTTGGGAAATGCCGCGCCAGGAAAACCCGCCTGGCTTAAATCCGTGGCTGAAGTACCCATCAGTTGTTTTGAATAAATTAAGTCCACTTTTAACAGGCACTCGAAACTACCAAGTTGCATTAACAGGTCATTGAAAAGTTTAATGCCATCAGTTGAAATGGAGTTCACCGCTCCTCTGAAGCTCAAATAAAAAATTCTAGGTTCATGTGTACCCGGTGGCGTATGAGTAATGGAATTCCCGAGTCCGTGATGCCCGAAACTGATGGTTGATTCTTTCCGTTGATAAGGTGACTTTGACAAACGAAATAATTTAATATTATTTGAAATGAATGCTCATTGGCTTGAAATAAATCAATCAAGCCACCTGCCGGCTGGTTATTTTAGTTTAATTCACCAGAAAGTTGCTTTTTGGGAAAATATCCAATACTAATTGATAAGATAAAGGTATCTAAAAAACATGAAATCATCCGCTCGCGGTATACCCTTCAAATAACATCCATAATAGCCTTGTTTCCAACCCGCGAGGCTTAAGATTCCATAAAATGATTCATAGATTGCCAGAAAATGTGATGAAATTCGTCCGTTTGACGTTTTGAAGTGTCAGCCAGATAGGGGAAATATTCCGGTGATACGACACTGTTGTCTCGCCGATCTCGAGACTAATTCAAAAACACATCGCACAGCGTTCTCTATTGGAATTCTTTATATATTGAACCCGATGACATTGCCAGAGCCACAGAGCTATTTCGTAGCAAAGATTAATTGGCAAGACTTGTGAGACACTTGCCGAATAATTGGGGAAATACCCGATATTAACCCTGGGATCAGTTTGGGTGCTGGGTGCATATCAAATGGGCGGAATAACTCGTAGCCCCCCTGGTGACGCATTACGCAAATAATAGTCGGTAGCTCCGAAGTCCGAGTCCGAGTTGCCTGGCTCTCGGAATTCGATGTCGATTTTTTTGGGCTGTGCTGGCGGCGGTGGCAATCAATCATAATATATCGACGATCGACGCCCGGCCGGAAATGACCCACTCGCCGACTGCCACGTACTAACTAACGATGTCTCTAAATGCTTATTAGCACTTGAAATTAGCGACTTGCCAAACAAAAACCTTTATGTGAGTTTGCGTGTGGCTCTGACGTTGCAGCTTGTGACTGAAATCCGATTCGAACTCGGAATCTGACTCTTTTCATCTCAGAGATAATGTTTATTTTATACACGGAACAAATATTTTATGAGGCTAATCCTATATTATTATTAAGGGTAATCCTATGTATATTCAAAACAATGCAAAATGTGCCTTGAAGCAAGATTTATGAAAGAGTTTCAAAGGAAAGACCCTATTTTGATCTATTTTTTTGATTTTAATAAAACTGATATAAATACTTGATGAAAATGTCCGTCTATGAATACCTCTTATTATTTTATTAAAAATATATACATCAATGTCCCATTTTTCCCCGCGGTGTAATTCCTGAAAAATTCGCAAATATATCCAAACCTACTAGCACGCGTCCATGAAGCTGTATCTGTATCTTTGTGGAAAGTTTCTGGGATAAGGCTATGGAGCATTTTGGCTGAAAATTGATTCCCGTTAATGAATGCAATATAAATTGATTAACACATTTAAACGACGACGCGTCGCTGGCTAACACAATCGAAAATCAGTGCTGTTAGCGAATTCCTAATGATTTGCACACGGCGTGAAGGATTAAGCGATTTGTTGGAAATTCAGAAATAAATGGCTGCTTTTAGGTGTACCTGAGGAGTATACCTGCCATTCTCTGCCTGACAACAGACGGATTAAATGGTCGAATCACGCGACACATTCAGCTCGGTGATTATGCAAGTTTTCGCAATTTTTCATCAACGTGATGCGTCAGTCTCGGTCTCCGGCTCCGTCTGCTGCCTGTTGTTTAAAGTCTGGTGTCTGTCGTCTGCCGTGTATCTTAAGAGTAATTAGCACTGATCACAGACCACTGATCACCGGTGATCATCAACCACACTAACCACTGGATTACCCTTGCCAGCCAGACTCGCACACTTGTCCACTTGCTGATCTGTGATCAGTGGATCACCTTCGCTTGGTTTCAGCCAGTCTTGTCTGGTCGATACTAGAGGTGTTAAGTGTGCTGGTCGAAATTGCGTCAGGTCGAGGGATTACTGTACAGGATTTACCACAGACCTGTCCATTAGGCGCCTTTCTGTTTCGGATTAGATCATCTTTACAGCAGACCCTTTGGTTGCATCAATTTTTGTTACATGACGGGCTCAAATACCAGTCACAGTACAAGGACTCTGATAAGGTTTTTCTTTTGTAACCCAACGGAAATGTCAAGTTATTTTCCAAGAAAATAAATATCTGAGTATTCAATGAGCTACTTAAAATGTGAGTTACAC